GTCCTGCATGCACCGCATTCCATTCCTTGCTTGCCTGCATTGCATTCCATTCTCTAAACTTTGATTTCTCTTTCTGCACAAGAACATCAACATTTGATTGCATCAGGACAAGATATATACCTCTGTCCTTTTTTTCTTTCTTTTGTAAGTATTCCTTCCTCTTCTCAAACTGCATTGGTGGGACTCAGCTCATGCATTCAGATTCCACACCGTCACATTCAGAGTTTCTTTCTTTTCAAAGTTTTCACATTCAGAGTTTCATCAGGCACATAGTGCTAATAGGAGTATGAAACTAGGGACGGAGGGGCACTCTTCTAGTCTAGTCAAGTCTGGTTTTTTTAACAACAAATTAAGCTAGGCTAGGCTCCAGTATTCTTCAAACAAACCATGCTAGCAGCTTGCATATACTCGTTGAATAAACAACAAACATGATTACTATACTAGCTGAATCAACCGAGTTTGATTTTGTAATAATGTCAGTTAAACTAATCACCAGATGAGATGAGTCAGCCAGTCAGCCAGCCTATGCAAATCCAATCCGTTAGTCAACGACTGCTTCATTGATTGTTACTGCTTGCTCTGCTGCTAATTGTAAAAGTCAACTGCGATGCCACTGAAGACTCAACCCCCCTCGATCCGACCTGATGCACAGCCTTGGAGCTGATGGAGAGGCAGGTGGTGGCCGTGGTGGGCCCGCAGTCCTCGGACATCGCGCACGTCGTCTCCCACGTGGCCAACCAGCTGCGCGTGCCGCTGCTCTCCTTCGCCGCCACCGACCCGGCGCTCGCCTCCAAACAGTACCCCTACTTCGTCCGCGCCACGCACGACGACCGCTTCCAGATGGCCGCCGTCGCCGACGTCGTCGCGCACCACGGCTGGCGCGAGGTCACGGCCGTCTACGTCGACAACGACTACGGCCGCGGCGGCGTCGTCGCGCTCGGCGACGCGCTGGAGGCCAATCGTGCCAGGGTCTCCTATAAGGCCGCGTTCCCGCCGGGCGCCGACCGCGCCGCGATCGCCGACCTCCTCGTGCGCGCCAACATGATGGAGTCGCGCGTCTTCGTCGTCCACGCCAGCCCGGACTCCGGCCTCGACGTCTTCGCCGCCGCGAGGTCGCTCGACATGATGGCCGCCGGGTACGTCTGGATCGCCACCGACTGGCTCGCCGCCGCTGCCATCGATGGCGCTGGTGCTGGTGCCGCCTCCAAGTCTGATATACAGGGCGTCCTCATTCTGCACCAGTACACCCCGGACTCGGACGCCAAGGCGTCGCTTGTCTCCAGGTTCGCCGCCGCCTCCAAAGCATCCAGCAACGCCATCAACGCGTACGGCCTCTTCGCCTACGACTCCGTCTGGATGGCGGCGCGCGCCATCGACCAGTTCCTCAGCAACACCAGCGATGGCAACATCTCCTTCTCCGCCGACCCCAACGTCCGCGACGCCAACGGCAGCGCACTGGGTCTCAGCGCGCTCAAGGTGTTCGACCAGGGCGAGCAGCTGCTGCGGAAGGTCATGCTCGCCAACTTCACCGGCGTCACGGGCAGCGTGCGGTTCCAGTTCGACGCCGATGGGAGTGGGACCCTCATCAACCCGGCCTACGAGATCCTCAACGTCGGCGGCACAGGCGTCCGCCGGGTCGCCTACTGGTCCAACTACACGCGCCTGTCGGTGGCGGCGCCGAGGCTGCTCGCCGACGGCGGGCCACCGCCCAACAGCACGACGACCCAGCAGCAGCAGCAGATGTACAGCGTCATCTGGCCCGGTGACACCACGGCTAAGCCGCGCGGGTGGGTGTTCCCCAACAACGGCAAGCCGCTGCGGATCGGCGTGCCGTACCGGACGACGTACAAGCAGTTCGTGTCTAAGGACCGGTCCAGCCCCGACGGCGTGAGCGGCTACTGCGTGGACGTGTTCAACGCGGCGGTGGCGCTGCTCCCGTACCCTGTGCCGGTGTCGTTCGTCCTGTTCGGCGACGGCGTGAAGAACCCCAGCTACAACGAGCTGGTGCAGAGGGTGGCGGACGGCTTCTTCGACGCGGCGGTGGGCGACATCTCAATCGTGACGAACCGGACGCGGGTGGTGGACTTCACGCAGCCGTACGTCGAGTCCGGGCTGGTGATCGTGTCCACGGTGAAGGCCAAGAGCTCCAACGAGTGGGCCTTCCTCAGGCCCTTCACGCCGGGGATGTGGGCCATCATCGGCGCCTTCTTCCTCTTCGTCGGCGCCGTGGTGTGGATCCTGGAGCACCGGTTCAACCCGGAGTTCCGGGGGTCGCCCAGGAAGCAGATGGTGACCATGTTCTGGTTCAGCTTGTCCACGATGTTCTTCGCGCACAGTGAGTAGCTAGAGTACAATGTTGTTGGATTATTGTTTATTCAGTTCGATCGATTCAGCAATCAGCACCGATTTTCCACCATGAAGCTGAATCTGAAATCCTCTGTATTCTAATGGGAAATGCAGGAGAGAACACCGTGAGCACTCTTGGTCGCTTCGTCCTCATCATCTGGCTCTTCGTGGTGCTCATCATCAACTCCAGCTACACGGCCAGCCTGACGTCCATCCTGACGGTGCAGCAGCTGTCGACGGGCATCCAGGGCCTGGACAGCCTCCTCTCCAGCAACGACCCCATCGGCTACCAGGTCGGCTCCTTCGCCCGGAGCTACATGATGGAGGAGCTGGGCGTTCCGGCGTCGCGCCTCAGGGAGCTGGCCATCGACGACTACGCCGACAGCCTGCAGCGTGGCCCCAGCAACGGCGGCGTGGCGGCCATCGTCGACGAGCTGCCCTACGTGGAGCTCTTCCTCTCCACCAACTGCCAGTTCAGGACGGTGGGCCAGGAGTTCACCAAGAGCGGATGGGGATTCGTAAGGAGTTTTTCGTCTCTTTCTTTGTTTGTTTGTTTCGTTCTCCAAACTGACGACGACTTCGATAACAGGCGTTCCAGCGTGACTCCCCACTGGCGGTGGACTTGTCGACGGCCATCCTGACGCTGTCGGAGAACGGCGACCTGCAGCGGATCCACGACAAGTGGCTCAACCCGGGAACGTGCGCGTCGCAGAGCACCGACGGCGTGGGCGCTGACAGGCTCAACCTGGGCAGCTTCTGGGGCCTCTTCCTCATCTGCGGCGTCGCCTGCTTCATCGCCCTGCTCATCTACTTCGCCAGGATACTCTGCCAGTTCTGCGAGTACCACGGGACCGGGACCACCGCCGGCGCCGCCCAAGAGGACGATGGCGCCGGCCCGTTCCCTGACCAGCAGAGGAGCCTGCGCCGGCCCGCCAGGCTCACCAGCATCCGGGACCTCATGTCCTTCGTGGACATGAAGGAGGCCGAGGTGAAGAGGGCCATCCGAAGCAGGTCCGACAGGCGGCTCGACGGGTCCATGGGCGGCAGGAGCTACACTTCTGAAGGGCCGTCCTTGTCACGGCCGTCCTCCATGTCGCCGGTGTAATACGGGGCGGCGGCGTTCTTCTTCAAAGACACGATTTTTTGTCTGTGCTCTGACTTTTAGGTAGCTGGAGTCGGTGATATGAAAGAAGGGCAGGCTGCTGTCTGTGGCTGAGTCACCAGGTTGCGGGTTCGAGGCAGCCTCTCCGTAGATTTTACGAGAGAAAGGCTTGCCTCGGGTTTTCCCTTTCCCACACCTCACTCATGTGGGAGCCTCCGGTACTGGGTCCGCCCTATATATTTGGGAGTCGGTGATCTGAAATTGACGAAACTGTACGTTTGTACAAATTGCGATTCAGTCAGCGGTTATATATACGGTTTTTCATCACCTGGAGATAGAATCTGTAGGTGCTAGATGCAATGTAGCTGTAGAATTACAGGGTATTATATACAAAAACTTCAAACTTGTGTGGACATCTGAAGATGAAATGAGAAGTTTTTGCTATACATATATTATGACACGTTCTAGATGGAATCTGTCTTACACCTGTTTTTTGAGTTTGCAGTAGCTGCACAGCTCTGGTGTGTGCTCTCTGAAATTCTTAAAGTTAACTTGGGTGGTTCTTTTGAATCCATTGGCCAATTTTGGCTTAGTTACTGCTGCTGCTCTTTGGACCTTATGCAAGCTATGAAATGACCTTTGTTTTCGGAATGTTGGCTGGAAAGGGATGGATATCCTGCTGAACAAAATTGCCTATACGGTGCAAAATTGGCTAATCCTGTGCCCGATCAAGAGGAAAGGGAGAAGCTGCAAGTGGTGGACCGAATGCAGAGTTTCCTCAAGATGAAGCCGGAGCTGGTTACTTCTTCTGATGCTTTGCAAGTCTGGAGATCCTGCAGACTGGCGAAAGGAAGCCAAAACAAACCTAGTACTAAGCTTCATTAGCTGGATGGTTACAGAGGAGAGTATCTTGCAAGGCTATGATTTCTACTACATACAAACATACATACTCATACATACCGTAGTAGAATATATATATATATATATATATATATATATATATATATATATATATATATATATATATATATATATATATATATATATATATATATATATATACTCCAGCTGGCTCTAGAATAATCATGGAGTGGCCTCCCGAACTGGGACAGGCATGTGGATTTCGCCGGTGCTAGTTGGTAGGTAGGTGGCCAAAGTCGCTGCAGTATGCGACTACGTCAGCGTGACTGACTCTAGTACGTTGCTGCAACTGGCGCTGCTGTAGGTGAGTAGGTCAGCGTGATTGGCTCTACGTTGCTGCAGCACATGTATGCACACGTATGCGATTCAAGCTGCTGAAACGAATAGTCCAGCTGTTGCAGGCTGCAGCACGGCCCAAGTGAATGGCGAGGCGTAAGAGGCCTGCTAACTGAGACATCGATGAGCCATTATTGGGTTACTTGTCTTTTTTTGGCCTGCTAACTGGATGAGTCTGGCTGGCTGGACTCTCTCTAGTACATCTAGTACATCGACGGACTAGAGGCAAGACGACGGCCCTCCTATATAGGTATCATCATGCAGTCGTCTCCTCCAGCACAGCAGAGATCAGGTGATGGCGTCCTCCGCCACCACCACCAGCACCACCCTCCTCCTCCGGCTGCTCTGCCTCTGCACCGTCTTGCCAGTCGCCCTGCAGGCGGCGCGCCCGACCAACATCACCATCGGCGCCCTCTTCGCCTTCGACTCCGTCATCGGAAAGTCCGCCAGGACCGCCATCCAGCTCGCCGTCGACGACGTCAACCGCGACCCCACGGTGCTGAGCGGCACCAACCTCAGCGTCGTCTTACAGGACACCAACTGCAGCGGATTCGCAGGCATAATCCAAGGTAGGAGTAGACTACTCTCTATCTCCCTCTGTCTGCACTGCACAGTTGGCCAATTTTAAACTGCTGCTGCTCTTTGGAAGGAAGCTCCGATCATGACCTTTTGTTTTCAGATATGTTAAGCTTGGAAAGGGATGGATATCCTGCTGAACAAAATTGATATACTGCAACTTGGTCAAGAGGAAAGGGAGAAGCTGCAAGTGCGCTGCACTGCATTCCATTTGTCTCAACTATTAATTCCCAGAGTTTTCTGGAATCAAACATTTTTGTCGTAATTAACATGCTCAAATGATAAATATTTACGCTCATCATAAAGAAATCATTTGTCGTAATTAACTACAAAAGAAATCATTTGGATACATCATAAAATATATTTTCATAATATACATGCTCATCCGGTGTGATAAATATTTATGCTCTTTTATTTATAAATCTGATCAAATATATAAAAAAAAGTTTGTCGTAATTAACATCATCGCTAGATGCAAGTCCTAACTCATACATTAGCGGAGCTAGAAACTCTTAGAAGCCTGGGCAATCTTCACTATGCAAAAAGAATTTAGCTAGTAAATTAGAGCCCTCTTCTTTGGTATAAAGGAAATTTTCTATTAAAAATCGCCGACGAGCCCGGCCAACCGCCTGGGGTGGCCGGGGCAGTGGCTCCGCCACTGAACTCGTATGTGTATGAGACATGAGTCTAGGTCACATATGAGATACGAAGAAAACTCTCTATTTTTCGGATAGTTGAGGGGGGAGAAAAAAAAAATAGGTGAAGAGAAATTTTGCCTTCTTAAATAATAATAATAATTTTTTATTATTATTATATTAATATATATACATTATATTTATATTAGGTGTAGATAGATATAAATATAGATATATTTAGATCATCTAGTCCATATGCATCTAGAAAAAAAAAAGCCCTTATAATTTGAAATGAGGGGAGTCCTATACTAGCTGAATCAACCGAGTTTAATTTTATAATAACAATTGTGCGCGTGTCATCAGTTAAACTAATCACCAGATGAGGCAGGCGGCAGCCTATCCAAATCCAATCCATTAGTCAACGACCGCGTCATTGGTTGTTCCTCTGCTGCACAGTCAACTGCGCCCATGGATGGGATGCCACTGTCCACTGATGAGTGATGACTGATCTGAATGAACCTGAACCCTGCAGCCGGCCTGGAGCTGATGGAGAAGGAGGTGGTGGCCGTGGTGGGCCCCCAGTCCTCGGTCATCGCGCACGTCGTCACCCACGTCGCCAACGAGCTGCGCGTACCGCTGGTGTCCTTCGCCGCCACAGACCCAGCGCTCGCCTCCACGCAGTACCCCTACTTCGTCCGCGCCGTGCACGACGACAGCTTCCAGATGGCCGCCATCGCCGACATCGTGTCGCTCTACGGATGGAGGGAGGTCACCGCCTTCTACGTCGACGACGACTACGGCCGCGGCGGTGTCGTCGCGCTCGCCGACGCGCTGGAGGCCACGCGCGCCAGGTTGTCGTACAAGGCCGCGTTCCCGCCGGGCGCCGACCGCGCCACGCTCGCCGACCTCCTGCAGCGCGCCAACTCGATGGAGTCGCGCGTCTTCGTCGTCCACGCCAGCCCGGACTCAGGCCTCGACGTCTTCGCCGCCGCGCATGACCTCGGCATGATGGTCGCAGAGTACGCCTGGATCGCGACCGACTGGCTCGCCGCCGCCGCCATCGATGGTGCGGGTGCCGCCTCCGAGTCCAATAATATACAGGGCGTCGAGTCCAATAATATACAGGGCGTCCTCACGCTGCGCCAGTACACGCCGGACTCGGACGCCAAGGCGTCGCTCGTCTCCAGGCTCGCCGGTGCCGAACAACCAAGCAATAATAATGCCACCGCCGTCGTCAACGCGTACAGCCTGTTCGCCTACGACTCCGTCTGGATTGCGGCGCACGCCATCGACCAGTTCCTCGACGAAGCCGGCGGCAACGTCACCTTCTCCGCCGACCCCAACATCCGCGACGCCAACGGCAGCGCGCTGCGATTAAGTGCGCTCAGGGTGTTCGACCAGGGCGAGCAGCTGCTCCGGAAGGTCATGCTCGCCAACTTCACCGGCGTCACGGGCCGCGTGGGGTTCCAGTTCGACGCCGATGGGAATGGGCCTGGTAGTGGGATCCTTATCAACCCGGCCTACGAGATCCTCAACGTCGGCGGCACGGGCGGCGTCCGCCGGGTCGCCTACTGGTCCAACTACACGCGCCTGTCGGTGGACGCGCCCACGCTGCTCGACGACGGCGGGCCGCCGCCCAACTCCAGTAGCACGACGCCCCAGCAGCAGAAGGATCAGCAGCAGCAGATGTCCAACGTCACCTGGTCTGGTGGCACGACGACCACGCCGCGCGGGTGGGCGTTCGCCGACAACGGCCAGCCGCTGAGGATCGGCGTGCCGTACCGGACGTCGTACAGGGAGTTCGTGTCCAAGGACGACACGAGCAAAGACGGCGTGAGCGGCTACTGCATCGACGTGTTCAAGGCGGCGTTGCAGCAGCTCCCGTACCCGGTGCCGGTGTCCTTCGTCCTGTTCGGCGACGGCGTGACGAGCCCCAGCTACGACGAGCTGGTGCAGAATGTGGCGGACGGCTTCTTCGACGCCGCGGTGGGCGACATCTCGATCGTGACGAACCGGACGCGGGTGGTGGACTTCACGCAGCCGTACATCGACTCCGGGCTAGTGATCGTGTCCACGGTGATGGCCAGGAGCTCCGACGAGTGGGCCTTCCTCAAGCCCTTCACGCCGGAGTTGTGGGGCACCTTTGTCGGTTTCTGCATCTTCATCGGCGCCGTGGTGTGGATCCTGGAGCACCGGCACAACGAGGAGTTCCGGGGGTCGCCGTGGAACCAGATGCGCACCATGTTCTGGTTCAGCTTCGCCGCAGTGTTCTTCTCGCAAAGTGAGTCGTGAGTAGAATTGGCCGGTGAATCAATCCAATGTGTCGATCGATTCAGCAATCAGCATCTTAATTTCAGGTGAATTTGAAATCCTAATGAAAAGTGAAATGCATGCAGGAGAGGAGACTGTTAGCAGTCTTGGTCGCTTCGTCGTCATCATGTGGCTCTTGGTGGTTCTCATCATCACCCAGAGCTACACAGCCAGCCTGACGTCCATCCTGACGGTGCAGCAGCTGTCGACGGGCATGCAGGGCATCAACGACCTCCTCGCCGGCAACGACCCCATCGGCTATCAGCAAGGCTCCTTCGCCGGGAGCTACATGATCAAGGAGCTGGGCGTCAAGGCGTCGCGCCTCCGGGAGCTGCCCATCGACGAGTACGCCGACAGCCTGCAGCGCGGACCCAGCAACGGTGGCGTGGCGGCCATCGTCGACGAGATGCCCTACGTGGAGCTCTTCCTCTCCTCCAACTGCCAGTTCAGGACGGTGGGCCAGGAGTTCACCAAGAGCGGATGGGGATTCGTAAGTCCAACATGCATGTTTTTTCTTTCTTTCTTTCTTCCTTCCACCAAATTAACCAACTGACGACGACGACGATCTGTGGAAACACAATAGGCGTTCCCGCACGACTCCCCCCTGGCTGTGGACCTGTCGACGGCCATCCTGAAGCTGTCGGAGAGCGGCGACCTGCAGCGGATCCACGACAATTGGCTCAACACGGGGACGTGCGACTCCACCGACGGCGTGGGTGGCCCCGTAAGGCTCAGCGTGGCGAACTTCGGGGGCCTCTTCCTTATCTGCGGCGTCGCCTGCGGCGTCGCCCTGCTCGTCTACTTCGCCAGGATACTTTTCCAGTTCTGCCAGTACCACCGCCACGGGACCAGCGACGGCGCCAAAGAGGAGGACGAGGAGGAGGACGACGGCGGTGGCGGCCCGTTCCCTGACAAGGAGAAGAGCCTGCGCCGGCTCGCCAGGCAGACCAGCACCCGGGACCTCATGTCCACCAAAGAGGAGGAGGAGGACGGCGGCGGCAGCCCGTTCCCTGACAAGGAGAAGAGCCTGCGCCGGCTCGCCAGGCAGACCAGCTTCCGGGTCCGGGACTTCATGTCCTTCGTGGACATGAAGGAGTCCGAGGTCAAGAGCGCCATGCGGAGCAGCTCCACTTCCAGCAAGTCCATGGGCCAGTCCCACAGCGACACCTCTGATGGGCCGTCCTCCCCGTAGAGACACCTTTTTTTTTTAAACTGGTTTTCCAGCACCAGATGAAGAAAGAATCTTGTTGGTGCTACAGGTAGTATGCAACGTAGCTGTAGTATTGCACGCGTAATACATCTTGGTGGGCCCTGGGGCATACTCAAACATGTTGCAATGCATGCATATGGACGACGTTGAAAACGATCGTCTCGAAAACGAAATCGATTGATACTGTCGGAAACGAATATGGCATTGATATTTCAGTAATATCGAAAATGGTAGTAGTCAATCTTAATTTAGATCGATAACAATTGGAATCCATGAAAATGATATCCTCAAAAATGATATTTCTTTTTTTTCGTTTACCGCTATCTTTTCCGGTTAGGCCTAAAAATCAGAAAAAACTCGAAAATGATTTTCGGAAATTAGAAATTATCATTTTCGTTTTCATCCCTACCGGTATGCGGGCAAAGTTTTTTTGATGGAACAGGAGGGGTTTGCACCCCTACTAGAAGATTTTATTAAAATTTGGTTTACAAAGAATGCCTCACCAAACAAAAAAAAAAGACAGAAAGAAAACAAGAAAGATTACACGAAAGCTTCTAGCCATGAGTCAATACTAGGATGAAAAGCTACCTTTGTAAGTAGAATAACTAGAGCAAATTCCTTCCTGAAGATCGATTTATACAGTGAAGAACCGAGTGAGGGATGCCTTTGAAGATGACATCATTGCGCACTAGACTAACACATTGTAATGATAATTTCCATGGCAAAAGGCAGGCGAAGCTGGGATTTGAAACCTTCCACAATCAAGCATGGATCATCAGAGTTGGGCACCATCAACTGCAGAGAGGACCAGCATGCTTGTTTTTGAAACGAATCAAGCAGGAGAGCTGCCTATTATATTAAAAAGAAGATAAGTGCGCCTCAAAGTGGACACAACTGTAACACCCCTGGTGTTACGAGCTTGCTTAGCATCGAATTTAGGATCAAGAAGGATTAGCTTAACAAGTTTTTGGGTTTAAAAATTTATAACGCATGTGAGGCGGAAAACAATTTCTATGAAAAAGGATCAAACATAACTTGTATTTAGTACTAAAATAAAAAAATGAAGTACAAGTTTAGTTGATGGAAATGCAACTTTAACTTTTGGAAAATAGATGTTATTAACTAGTGTTTTGGGAGCTCAAAAATCAAATTTGACGTTAAGATAAGCTCTTTTCGTTAAGTCGACAAACACTTGAACTATGGTGTAAAATACTATTTTTAGCGAATTATATTGAGCAAAATAGTTAAATAGTGCTTAAATATTTCGCTCAGTTAGTATAAGGTGTGGACTATTGCATGAAATACTTGTTGGTAACCGCTAATAGGGTTTAGGCCTTTTAAAATTGTAATAAACGTGTTAATGGCTGTTAGTTTGAATTGAATCCTTATCTTTTCCAAGTATGGAAAAGTAGTAAGACAATGCTATTTTGATATTTAATTTCTAACAAAAATGTTTAAATACTAGCTACATGTTTTGGTATTGTTGATTGCATCAAAGCGAGTGCTTGAGCATGGCTTAGGTCGAAGTTGTGTTGGATGTCACATTGCTCTCGTAAAAAGTGCCCAAACTTCGTTGGAGCGCGTTGTTAACTATGTTGTTGGCGCCCTGTTCGTGAACCGGTACTCCAACGACGAACCCAAGTTAGTATCCTTTTATCTCCCTCTCTGGTTGCTCTCGGGTCATGGCGATTGCTCCGCTAGCTAGCTGGTAGTGTCGACTTTAGGTTAGTAGGATTGGTTGAACTTCGGTTGAGATGATCGGCATCCTTTGCTTCGCTTTAAAATTCGTGCACATCATATGCTTGGCTCGGGCGCACGGTCACCTCGCGCGGTCACTCGACGTCGCACGGCTGCCCGTGTTCCACACGCCGCTGTGCCGATCCCGGTCTGCCGGTCTAGCCATGGGTTGGCCGAGGCCGGCCCAATAGGCCGCTGTCGTCGCCCTACAGCTGCTGGTCGTCGCGCTGCTGTCCCACCTCGCTACCGTGCTGCTGCGCGCACCGCTGCGCCGTGCCGGAGGGTTGCCACTGTGCGGTCACATGGCGAGGCATTGTCGCAATACGGTTGCTGTGTGCCCCGCTGTCGTTGCATGCGTGCGCCACCGTGTCCGCTAAGCCACGCACGGGGTCGAGCCAAGGTCGTGGCCATTGTCGCCGTGTCGATGTGGCAGTCCCCCTACCCTACGTCTCACCTACCACGAGCCCATGCCGCCACCCGTCGTGTCTAGGTCAGTCGACCCCTACTTCAGGGTGACAGTGACGCCTCCTTGATTCGCCCTGTTCCACTAGCTGACGCCGGTGAGCCGCTCGGGCCCGGCTACCGCATTCAAGTGCCCCGCGTGCTGGCACACCTCTTGGCTCCGTCTAGCACTACCCGATGCGCCTATTGCCCTCGCTCGTGTAGCCATGTCCTCACGTTGTCGTACCCTATCGGGTCATGGCCAGGTTACCTCTGATGGGGCCGTGTCGCATGAGGTAGCAGGGGCGATGCGCCGTCCTCTTCCCTTCGTAATAACCAACTCAAAGCTTCCCAGCTCAATTCCTCGTGTCAGTGAGAAGCAGAGGAAGTTAGTTAAACGCACCACTCTCGTCGACTCCAGCGCCGCCATGACCAGAGGGTTGGGGTAAGGCCTGAGGAGTGGTAACAGTTCAATTGCTCATAACCCTAAGTTCGCCGTGACTCCTTCCATCCGTTACTCATGTTATTTTGGCCATGGTGCTCGTCGTCGGTGGGGTGACGTGCCGGTGTCCATCGCAGAGTGCCACCTCCTCACTCGGTCGCACGTGGCCAGACCGGCAGCGCGCTCCCCTGCTTCAACCGTCAGTAGGGCGTACACCACGGTGAGCCACTGATGCTTATCCGCCACTTCTACTCTACCGACATACGTAGGCTCGCCGAAACAGTCGTGCTACGGCTGCGGATAGGCGCTCGCTGCTGTAGCCCATGACAGTGCGCCTCCGAGGCCTAACCGCCACCCATCCTTGCACGTTTTGATGTAGATGGTGGTCAGTCCCTTAATTCCGTCGTAGAGAGCCTAGTTTGCCTGGCGTTAACCGCCTTGTGCCATCGGCCACCGCGCCGCCACATGCGGGGATCCCAGAGACCTCCCCGTGGTAAAGGCGAAAACATTTGAGGGTTTGGTTGCAAAGTTACTTATGATAGGAATAGTGTGCATAGTAGTAGTATTAATCTCTAAAAGCTCAGGGGCCTTTCTGCAAAATGGCTAACGCGTAAGGACGCCCCCGGCCTTGGGCCGTGCTGGGCTGTCACGGTGCACACGCGACCTGCGTTGGGCCAGAATGGGTTGCTGCCGACCCTTTTCCTTTTCTAATGCAATTTTAATTTAGTTTGTAAGGTAAACTTATAAATTCAGTATAAAATTGTGTTTGTTAACCAAAAATTGTGAAACCAATTTTCTTAGGTTTCTAAAATCATGATCTATCTGCTAGTATATTTTGTTCATATAGTTTTATAATATTTTTAGGAGTTATCTAATTAATTTAAGATACTTAATATTGTTAAGCTATAAACTTGAAGGAATTTTTGTGATAAATTGGTGATAGTGTTGGCTCTGAAATTTTCATAATAAATTTCTAACATTATTAGTTGTTCACTGTAATTTTTGTAGCTCCATAACAATTAGTTTGCTAAGGTAGCTAAATGAGCCCTAGTTCAAAAATATATATTTAATCAATAAAATGCCGAAACACATTGGGATTGTAGAACTAAAACACTTGTTGGGAAACAACGCCTTATTCGACAACATGGATACATAAACTAGTACATTAGTCATTAAAGCTAGCTCGTTAGCTTGTGGAGCATAATTGTATTTTAAGAGTTGTGGTTGTCATTGGTAATTATGTTTTCTGCGTTTCATCCACGTATATCATAATAGGAACAATGATGGATCATGGAGTCGACCGAAGTAGCGGAAAAGATGGGGCCTTGATGAGCGTGTCACTATGATGGAATGCTAACTTTTAGTTATATCTTATCTAGACAAGCCCCGGTGCATAACCCTTATTATTCTGCACTTTATTTTATGCTTGTGCATTAAGTTTTAAGGAGTTTTTAAGGAGTTGGATGAAAACCACTTGCATATATACATCCTTACCCTATGAGTCCTACTAGTATATTAGGATCATGTAGATTGCTATGCTATAGGATCCGGTAGAAGTCGAGTGATTACCTGTCACTCGCGAGAGATAGGAAAGATATTATTGTTACTGTCATATGAAATATATATGAATGATAATTGGAGACCGGGCAGAATGGTACTTTAGATCTGGACTTGGTTAGGCATTCGAGCGAGGCTCGGATTGCACTTTTTTCGCCTATGTCGATTGAGGACCGTCCGTTGCTGTGGATGGTAGTCAGATCACAGACTTATTATCCTAAGCACATTCTTACTTATGGGAGCAGAAAGGCTCGTTACGCTCTTGTCGTGAGTTTCGGCTCTTTTCGGACCGACTAATTGGAGGTGGGGAAAGGTGGAGGTCTAAGCACCATACTGAGACCGGGTCTCAAGTGTGGGGGCTTAGAGTCCAAGTTTGGACGGGGACCTGGAGCCCGTGACAGGAGTGGAATGGGTTGGTCTTGTTTGTGCCTAGGGTACAAACAGGGCGTTCGTTTTAGGGTACCCAGCTGGGATATATTGGTTCGCGAATCGCCGTTTCTGTGAAATGATACCGACTTGGCTATGGTCTAGCACCGTAGTAAGAACTGGAATATGAAAGATGATAAAATGGTTCTGATTGCTTACCACCTGCTTGAAAGTAGCACAGGTGCTTACATAGAATGGTTAGTTAATGAACTAATGATGACTGCTAATGAAATTGAATATAAGGACGCACATTTAGTAATGCTTCCGCAGATGCAATAACCCACAAGACAGATAGCCTTGCATATCCTTGGAGTCTTTTATATTCCTCCTGTCGGGTAAGTCTTGCTGAGTACAATCGAGTACTAAGGGTTTTATTCGC